TTTAGTAATTCTTCAGTTGTTGGTTGAGGAAAAGAATCTTTTTTTGTCACTGAATTCAATTTTCGATAGTCTACCAAAAAACGAATACCATCATCCTTTTTTTTGTGAATAATGACTGGAGATGACCATGGTGAAATGGATGGACGAATTTGGTTAGCTTGCAACATTTTTTGAATTTCAGCTTGAAGTTCACGTCGTTGTTGGATTGTTCGTGGATATGGTCTGGAACTGATTGGAAGACTATCACCGGTGTTAATAATGTGTGGAACAGATGTGTTTGCTTGTGTAACATGTGAAATATCAAAGATTTTTATGTGTTGTTCAAGTATGTGATGTAGTTGGTGAAGAATAGGTTCGAATAAATTCAGTTTTAAATACATTCCAAGTTTCAAATGTTTCCTTGTTGTCCGAATACCATTGTTTAGCATGTCCTTCCAAAAACACAGGTACTAGTTTTAATGCTTGTGCTTCAGTTATATCAGCCATACGACATGTTGCAATAAGATCGTTTAGCCATTCATCAGCATTTTGATCGGGTTTACCCGAATATTTAGGTGTTTGTTCTCAAGTTTTGCTTAAAAGTGTTGCAATTGTTTTTTCTGCCATTATTAATTCTGCTGGACGATAAACTACAGGATGTACGTGCGAACGATCAGGATAATCAATATCAATATTAGATAATCGAGTAAATTCGGATGCGATAAGTTGTGCTGCACCTTGTCGAGTTAACATACAATATTAATGCGGATATTAAACAAAACCGGCCAGTGCACCAATTTGTTAGGCCTTTACTCCTTTTATTTTATTATTCTCACCCTTTCTTTAAAAAACAAAACAAGTTAATGATGAAAAACAAAAAAGCAACAAAGAATGTCTTTCTCTCTCTTTCTCTCTTCTTCCATGATATACCTCGTTGTTTATTTTCAGAACAAAGAGATATCATGGAGCGACGAGAAGGAATGCCATTAACGAGAGCTGTAATATTATAGAGAGAGCCCTCTTATGTCAGGAGATGTCTCTCCTGACATAACACAGATTCTTTGTTTTTTATTGGTTGGTTTAAGTGAGTTTCTAGTGGATCTTTTTCTGTCCCTTTTCGAATAACTTTTTGTATTGTGTTTTCTGAAGATCGATTCTTTTCGTTGACAGGAATGAAAAAAATCATGTCAAATCTCATACTGCTTCAACTTAGACATATTGAGAAGAATGTCAAAGTAATGAAAACATTATGTACATGTAAAAGATATCGTTAGCTAGGTCGTTTTCGAACAGATTTAGGATTAGTCTATCAGCACGCATTCTACAAAGAACTATCCAAAGTAATTGGTTCACAAGTTCTTTTACTTTCTTACGACTATAGTCAAAATAATTCGAATTGAACAATTTAAATGTGTAAAAATGAAGATATTATTTATGATTACTTACGTTAGGAAGCCAATTGTGATATTGTGTTGAATATCATGGAAG